CAATTTAATTGACAGTACAGCATGAGGAAAACATATTTTTGTATCATGTGTGCCCTGTAGCTACGCAGTCACTAGCTCATCCACTGGTTTGTGGTGTTGCTATGGTGAGTGTGTTCGTGAAAGACCAGGTGCACCTGGGTCCCATTGAAAACATCTCTAATAATCACCCCGAGTCTTGAAGGGCTCCTTTTCCGATACTTCTTAAGGACTTGCATAAACATGCTTTTGAAGCCCAACATGTCCTGTGAGGCTAATTCACTTAACACGTACCTCCCTGTGTGGAGGTGGCATAATTGATCCTCTAAGGTATGAGAAACAGATATGAAAGTGAACACATCATTTCTGTCTTTTTCCGATTCCCCTTTCCCTCAGTCATATTGCAAAGCTTTTTGAAAATCTAAATAGTTTCCTGATTGTTCCCTGCACTGATTTCTTTGCTACTTAAAGACCCCCGCATGTGAAAGCTGCAATTTTCCTCAAGCATTTGTCTTCATCTGTTCGTTACAATGCTTACAAGCTTGTATCACATTCCTCAAGTTCTAAGCATTGATTGAAAACTCCCCTTCAATTTCTATTTTGAATTACATTCTGACATTTATTGAGCAACACAGACGAGGACAAGCTTGTAGTGAACCTTGAAAAAAAGTGAGGAGTGTGTACTATGTGTTGTTACATTTACAGGTTTCTTTATAATATGGATTGGTTGTGTCCGTGAGAGCCAATGAAAAGCCTCGCCTTGACCATGAGAATTAGCTTTTGTCCCAGTTTTTGAAGGACATGATGTATAATCCAAGTTGCTATAATTGTTTTCCCTACTGTCAAAGTATGTGGTAGAGAAAAAACATTACTCTGCTATCCAGTGCATCATAACATTGATTAGATATACTTTATTGTCCACCTCGGAGAAAATGCAATGGTTAATAGTCTCACAGATAACAAAACGCAATCATAAAACATACACATACAGTAGACAGTATACAGTAAACAATGGAGGTAAAGGGGCAGGTAGAAGACACATAAATAACAGCTCAAACTGTGCGGTGAATGCAAGGTATTTGTGGTTATATGTTTCTCTGTGTAGTTTTCTGGTTCTTGCCAATCACCTGCAATACCATTAACCTTAAAGAGCTTGTTTGTTGATCTTTGCACACAACTTGGCACAGAATTGTGTACTAAAAATCCATCTCTCTGTCTTCCACTTTATTACTCTATCGGTCACCTTTTCTCTCTTCTGTATTTGTCTCTGTTCATTCGTCTTGTGTTCTGGTGCTTATTCTCCAGTTTGCCACTTTTTATGTCTCTTTTTATGTTCTCTATTTCTCTTTCTGTCTCTTTTATCTACCTATTTCTCTCTGTAGAAACTCCTCGACCAATGCATCACATCCATGTTGTCAGTCACAAAGATTGGAAATGTCTGCTCCATGGTGATATAGTGTCAAACTCTTATCCAACATTATCTGATGCACAGGAGCTGAATTTATGTTTTCTATATCAAATGCAGAAACATCCCTATCGTACATCAGAGCAGCTTTAACACCGCTATTCTTCGGTGATAAATCATTGCCGTTATTCATTGCTGCAATGACTGTCGCCCAGGTATCTCTGCTTCCAGCTGCACGTATTAATATGAACAATGGAACTGGGAAGCATCTATATTATTATGATTGCTATGGTGTGACTAATTCAAATACTCTACATGTCTACGGCAGTTAACATAAATGAAAAATTGTGAATAATGTAATTATTCCAAACATGTTATTAACTTTCATGTTTCAGGTCGCTGAAAATGAAAAGATAATTTGAGGACTATTGGGAGTCATCGAGCTCATTTGCAAGGGTTATCATGGTGGTGAGTGGGGAGTGGGGTGAGGAGATTTTTTGAAAGGAGTCCCAAATCTCCGCCCTGCTCACCCCCCCCCCCTCCCCCCCCTCACCCCTCCCTGCAAACTGGCGCTTGTTTGTTTAATAAGGGGGATTAATTAATCTCATTGGTATTCCAAGACGCTGGCTCCAGTTGTTTTTCTGAGCTCGGATCAGCAAGGTCATCCATTTGAATTGTGATGTATGAACGTTCAGAGTCTGTGAGGGAAACTCCCAGAAGGCTAGCACCCATTATAGTTTTTTATTTTTATGGATATCATTGGCGGGGGCACACTGATTGGACAGCTCATCTATCTATCAATCCTTATGAGATTTACGACTCTTTTCGCATGTGTTGTATATGAAACAACTTAGTTTAGCTGTAATTAAATGTTGCTCTCCTCCAGTCTTTATGCTTCTGATGCAATGCTCCCTCAGCACATAAAATGTACACATGGTTAAGGACCATTTGTCTTTTCATTTGACTGAAAATCAACAGGGTAAATAGCAATATAAACACTTGATAAATAGGCCGCCTCATCAGTGTGATTGATATTCCTTGCTTCGCCTTGATGCAATGTTTAATACATAAGGCCATCTGACAGAGCCCTTAGCTCAACTTTAATCATCAGCAAAACACAATAACACAGTTCTGGGCCCAAAGCCATACAAATGAAGATCTGCTTAGAAATTACCAACTGTTAGTAATGAGTCACAGGAAATATTAGTTGCATGCTATAAGTGATGACAACATCTTTGCCAAAGTGTAAAGACATTATGACTATGTAGGGAAAAGGAGTACCGCTAATAGATGTAGTGCAACCTCAGGTCAATGAGTTTAACTGTACCTCTTAGTATTGCATCGATAAGCAGACTTTAAGTTGGATCGAGCTGAGGCAGCGCTTTTGGCAAAGTGGTGTCCGTGTGAATTACAGTCCAAAGCCAAGCAGTTATTTGGAGTGTGGTCTTTTAGGGGCTGACAACATATTACTGCTTAAACATGGTCTCTTTTCATCACAATCAGTAACCGCAGATCACAAAGTCCTTCACCTACACGGATAATCCATCATCATCATTGGAACAGTCAATGCACCTGTTCTAATAGTGAAAGCTGATTGGCTGGCAGATAGCTGCCTACTCCTGGCGCTTGGTTTGCTCAGAGCAGGCAAACAATGTCACTGACATTATCCACGGTCCACACCATATGAGAAGTGGAAGCAAAACAGAGCTTTGCAGGTTTAATGTCTAAAAACAGCAACACTGCAAATATATAAAGAACACTTGCAAAGTGAAAATGAGGAAACGAAGCTCTAGTGATTTGATTGCAAATTAAGTAAATAGTTTCAGAGCTAAATCTTTAAAGGTATTTATAGTTAATTAATGTTTTCTCAGGTACGTTTTAGAAAATTGTGTCTACCATCTTTACTGGACACAGGTAAACTTTTCAATAATGTGAATGTTCTATATATTTGAAGTTATGTTAGTTAGTTAGCCTTATTGGAATTAAGTAGATTTTAAAGTTAAGAGCAAATAAAAAGCTGCCATTTTCATCATGCCTTTATTTACGCCTTTAGTTAAAGGTGGGGTAGGTCATTTTGGAGAAACCAGCTTGAGTGTGCTAGAATTTGAAAATACACAACCGGAAGAAATCTGCCACTTCCTTACAGAGCCCCTCCTCCAACACACACGAACGTGCACATGACCAATGAGGGCACGAGATAAGTTTGTGCCCCGATGGGAGGCTGACAGGCAGGTAGGTCATCCAGTTATTTTAGCCGGGCCGGTTAAAATGATTGGTCGTACTTTTTACAGCGCTACGGCTTCCACAGATGACATTTTTTTATGAATTTATTGTCAAAGCATTTAATATATTCATTGCTATCGGGATGTTAAGAGCATTCCATGGAATATAACAAGTGTTTCTGAAATAAATTACATACCCCACCTTTTTAAATGTCAGCTTTTTAACATACTTCATGTAAGCGTCAACAACGATTGTTTTACTGCAGGTGATGAAAACAAGTGCCTACTGACCGCTGAGTCCTGTCCTGGGTGATCCTATCCTTTCTATTAATGTTATGATACTATGAAAATATAGTCCTTTTAGTGAGTGCACCAATGTGTGCTTATTAAGAGTGTGTGTGAGTGTAAGGCAGTGCTGGAGATTCTTTTGTGAGTCTTCTGGTACGTACAAACTTCAAGCCCTCCTCTGGTGTCAGACAGGAGGGGAGCCCGTTGTCATATTTTTTCATCATTACCTTCCCTGCCTTTCTTCAACTCTCTCCCCTGGAAGTTGAAACCAAAGGCTTGGCATCCGACAGCTCTGTCTTTTCCTCTTCCCCCCCTGATTCTTTTTGGTAACCCTGGTGCCTTATTGACAAAATCCCCTCATTTCAAGGGTGCTGGAAACCCCTCAGGTTTGTCTTGGTGCAGGTATGATTCTCCTTAGACACCGCTGCTCAACAGAGGATGGTTTGCCACTAATCTAGCTCTTCTCTAGAAGCCTTTTATCTCGTCAGAGCTGGCCACAAAGTCCTGCTCTGTCCAGCCGTCACACCAGACCACAGCATTGACATTAACACAGCTTTTAGCAGGCCACGGAGAGAGAGCCCTGCGGAGCTCTGACTGGAGCACCAGAGCTAATTCCCAGATCAGGGGGAGAGTTCAGGCTCCTTCGAGAGGAGATCCTGGTTGGCAGGCTGGATGTTTAGAGTATGTTGGAGATTAGGACTTTGGCGAGTCAAACGCTAGATTAGGAGTGAATGGTTAAGGGGAGATTCCACAGGGTCTTAATAGTATCCTTCTAGGGAAATAACCCTGTATGTGTGTGTGTTCTTCTGTGTGTGGGATATTCTCAGTTGTAGTGTACAGTTTGTTCTGCTTAATGCTTCCATGAGTTAGAAATTAGGGATGTGGGTTTTGCTAATGACGCTACTTTATCTCACATATCAATTATGTGGCTTATCGAAAAGAGTCATGTTACCTCAATAAGGATGGATGGATGGCTTAATGCATGGATACATGTGCTTAGTTAAACACACTGAGATTTAAAGCAACGTTCAATTGTTTCTTTCTACCATCAATGTCTATTTCTGTAGTGAAAGAGGACTAAATGTGTCGTTTCTGCTCCTTTTTCCAAGGATGACGAGCCGATCACAGGAGGGGCTGATGGCAGACACCATACCCGCATCCGGAAGTTCCTCAGCCAGCGGCACAAGAAATTGCCATGGAAACCGGAGGTAATACAAAGGATTTCCTGTCCTTCATTTGCATTTTTCTGAGGCCTGCACTTGTCCATTAATTATCTTCGTTTTAACCCTCTTTCTTCCATCTTTCAGAAGGATGATTATGTTGAGGTCCTTTATGTGCTTTGGCATGTCTGTGACTCACCAGATAAACCTAGCAAGGCCAGGCAAACATGCAAGAAACTTTCATCAATCACTCCATTAGTGGCTCAATAATTGAGTGTTTTACTTTTTTTTTTAAATGTAATTTAGCCGCAGATGTCTTACTCCCATTTTCTTTCACTTTTCCTTCTACCAGCAGTTTGTATTTGAGGTCAAATAGAGATCCAGTTACCCTCTGGCGCCATTATCAGAAGAACAAAATGTACCTCGCGGATATGATGATGAATTATTGTGCGAGGATGGTAATATTTCAACCCGAACCATTAGCAGACTTTATTTAAAGGCACCTCTGACCTGTAGATTACAAGTTTGATTTGATTCACCCTAATTTTTCAGCTCACTGATGTAGTTTACATACTCGCTGTAACAAAAGGAGCAGCAGACAGGGCAATTATGCAGCGGATTTGTGATAAGGGAAGCTGCTCTAGATTTGTAACCTGTTCAACAGAGTTTAATTACAGGGGTGTGTGTGTGTGTGTGTGTGTGTGTGTGTGTGTGTGTGTGTGTGTGTGTGTGTGTGTGTGTGTGTGTGTGTGTGTGTGTGTGTGTGTGTGTGTGTGTGTGTGTGTGTGTGTGTGTGTGTGTGTGTGTGTGTGTGTGTGTGTGTGTGTGTGTGTGTGTGTGTGTGTGTGTGTGTGTGTGTGTGTGTGTGTGTGTGTGTGTGTGTGTGTGTGTGTGTTAGCTAGGTTTGTTTTTGTGAATACACCATTTGGTGTGTGCGTGTGTGTGTGTGTGTCAAAAAAAAAAGATTCATTAGTTTTTCCCTACCTTGGGTGGAGTTTTAATATCTCTGCTGAACACTTCAAACTGTTCCAACACACAGCATGAGCTGGATAATAGGAAGTTATTGTTATTTTCAAGATGATCACTTTGAGGGCAGCCATATCGAATGTTTTGTTTTTTTACAGGAATTAGTATCATTCACTGTTGTTTCCAAAAAGCACGATGCATTTCATCTTTTGTACAAGGCAGGGGAGATGAACACAGTATGTTTCTGATAGTGTTAGTGCCAAACATGCTGTTTCATTTCAGCAGACTCTTATGGTTAAGCTAATCTTGACGAAACCTGCCTTTGCCTTGTTGCATTTCCTCAGCAACACAATATATCACGAAACAAAAACAATCCTTATATTTCCCTTTTTTTAAACATAAGCAATGACAATGAAATAGCTGGACATCATACATATCGTAATTTGGCTTTGTAAATGATCACATGTGGATGAAATCTGCTTTTTAAACATCTGTCGCCTGAAGATTGAGGGCCCTGCATAATTGTGGAGGCTTATTTTGGCATAATTTAAAATGGTGCTACTTAGAAAATGAGCAACACATTGATATGCAACCGCCAAGCGAGGAATGCAGCCAAACAAGCTATCTGAATCGGGATCATGTAGACTAATTGCACAAATGTAAATGGATTTCATGGTCTGAGCACAGCGAGACTATTTATTACGAACATGCTCTGTTTTTATCATTTTCTATGTTCAAACCATTTAAACCAAAGGGCGCATTTGCACTAAAAAGACATGTACATCATTTCATTCACCAAACAGAATTTCTTATTTATAGTTTTGATCGGGGAAGCGAAGCAGCCACAGAGGGAAATACATTTTGCAACAACCTCTCAAACTACATTTTGCATTAGGCGTGACTAGCATCAAAGCTCACTTGTACAAGTAAACATTTCTTTGACTTCAGTCCAGCCTACTCATAAAGCAACATGCCATTCAGTTTACTGACAACATGTATCCTCGAAGATCTCTTCCTCTCTTATCTCAGACTCCTGCTGCATCGAGGCAAATAAACCTTTCAGATAAAATGAAGCGCAGGTGGTTTGCTTTCCTCACCCTCTATCCGTCCTAATTACCAGCACTAACTTGTTTTCCTGATGAACGGCCAAGATGGCAGAGGTCTGAGGGGCCACTGAGCTGGCGCTGTGAGAGGCGTAGACTCGAGCTGGTGGAGGTAGAGCGCTGCCATATGCCAGCTGTCACAGACTGCCAGAGGTCACCATGACACCCAGTAGCACCACAGGCAAAATGAAAGCATCGCTCATTTAATTTTTCACATATTTGCATAATTCAACAGTTTTAGAATGTGAGTTTAGAATGTGAGTCTAGGGCTGTTTATTTATACATTTTATATCCGTATTGGATATGAGACTACCCTTTTTACATATCAGTTATTGTAATATCACATAAGTATCTCTTCCTGGTTTTAAAGGCTGCAGTAAAGTGATCTCACTTAACCGACTGTTCTATCTGTTCTATATTTTTCTATTCTTTTGCTTTTACCTAATGTTACTGTTCATATAACCAACTGTACTTGGTGTTTATACTCCTTATTGTCTGTGCCTTAAACCTACTTTGCATTTAACTCTAACTCCATTTATCCTCTGTATATACATATTTAAGTTATAAACATTTGTAACATCTGTATATTGTTACTAATAGCATCACTTACAGTATGCTGTAGTACTGCACTTACTGTAATGTACATGTTGTAATAGTATATAGACTTACACTTCTGGTTAGATGCTAACTGCATTTCATTGGGTTGTATCTGTACACAAACATGACACTATAGTTGTATCTTATCTTAGCCTTTATAACTATTTTACTGATGTATTATATGTAAAAAAGCATAAGCACAAGTAGTGAGCGCTCCACTGATGTTGCGTATAATGATATCAGATTTTCTCCACATCACCCAGCCCTTTGTGAGTCCATCCTGTGTTTGTTCTAGCGTGTTGTTTTTCAGCCACTATTGGGGACTTAATAAGGATTCCCAGGTTCCCGAAGGTCACGGTGGATTAGTGTTGACATGCAGCTGGACATCATCCGTCCGTCAAGGACACTGGAAAGAGATCAGAGCGAGAGATATAGAACTGGGCCACTTTTTAAAAGTCAAGCATGAAGGGATAAGCAGGCAGAAAGCCGACATGGATCCAGAGAGAATTTAGGCATAATGAACTATTTGATCTCGTCACGAGCAGAAAGAAAGTGATCGTAAGAAGGATTAGTGGCTTGTATATTAGGGGGACTATTAATGATTTCTCTACATGTGTACTAGTCCACGTTAAATCCACAGAGACATCATACCAGAAGTATTATAAATATGTTTGGTGATGTTAATCCGATACTCAGGAGGTATTCAACTAAAAACAGTGGCTTTTTGCAAAAGATGGAGCATGGCAGGCTCCATGTTGAGTGACGGACTCAAATATCTCTCTTTCTGGCTTGTGTAGTGTAAAATATCTAAGCCACACATTTGGAAAGCCTATTATTTACCACTCAAGAGGGAAGTGAGGGAGATTCTGTGGCACAACACTGACACATGACTCAGGTTGGAGCAGCCGTCACAGCTGGCTTCCTACGGAGAAACACACACGGCGACAAGACTGAAGGAAATCTCTTTTTCATGTCTGTGACCTTCCCGTCACCCTACAATAACATGTGAGGACGCAGCAGAGGAAGTGTGATATTTGTCTCACCACTCACTCAGTCCGTGTTTCTTTTATCTACCCGCCTGTCCAAAAAAATTGACAAACATGAGGCAGTAATGGGATTTCTGTTAGCCTCTCCTTAAATTCATGAAAATGATCGACAGCTTGTAGCAGGAGTTGAACAAATGATGCCCATCTTCAGTTCACTGTCTCATATTCCCCATTCATCCCCCATCATGTTATATCCCCGATATGACAGAAGACATGTCATTGTTGGACAGATGGCAGATTATACCATCCCTCATTACAGTAGTTGATGAGGCTGGAATCTAGATCATGTGAACCTTGCCTTCTATATTTTCTGCTGTGTGAAATGAGTTCTCATTATCTCTTTCCTCATAATCTCCTCTTTCAAACCTCTGCACCTTTGAAACCCCGTTTTCTCCTCACTGCACATACGTACTTATTCCAGTTTTCTCTTCCTCCCTCGTTTCTAAATTACTAATAGGCTGAGTAAGAGGAGATAAGCAGGGAGAAAGTATCTTAATTAGGGCTGTGCAATTAATCATATTTTAATCGCAATTACGATTTTGGCCTGCCACAATTACGAAAACAACATAATCGAAAAAAACAATTATTTTGCTTTGCTAGGTTGTGACCGTGCACTGCAACATATTTGATCTAATTAATTTTGGTCTCATTTATTTGTATTTATCATATTTATATATGTTTAGTAGCTTGTGGAAGTGTGCTCCAAAATATTTGTTGATCTTGTTTATTGGTATTTATTATTTTGATATTATTTATTTAAATGTAAATATAAATGTATCATTTATTTAATCATTTTTGTATTGGTTTTTCAGTTGAATTATACGTTCAGGGTAATCAACAGTTAAACAGATACTGTTCAAATTATTATTTGTATTTGTTTTAAAGTTCAATAAATGGATGTTTTCAAAGTCAATGAATAATCGTATTTAATAATCGTGATATCAATTATTGACCCAAATAATCGTGATTATGATTTTTGCCATAATCGCACAGCCCTAATCTTAATGCTCTCTATACATTTGCATGGAAAGATTTCATATAGCGATAACATTCCTGTCATCGTCACAGAGGGAATTACTTATGTCACTCGTGTATTTGATGAACACTTAATGTACATTTCAGCACAGTAGTTCAGTAAAACAGCTATCTGGGAGCTTTAACGCCATTTCTCCTATACTGTGTACCCTAGGGAAGCAGGCTGAATGCTTTTCTATATTCCCAAGTGTGCCTTTGCCTGGAACATCACGTCTCACTTTGCCTGTCCAAAGAGGATTTACAGTATCAGTCGGTGCACCGAGCAGCCATTTGTCAGTGCCTCGCTGCCAACATGAACGCAGAAGGCTGCACCAGATTTTTGGAATAAAGAGAGAGTCTGATTTGCGCTCGGTTTTACAGCGAGACCAGATGGGTCAGAGAGCGAGTCATTAGAGAGCTGGAGATAAGCTAAGAAGGGATGTGGAGGAAATGTGTGGTCTGAGCAAAATAGGCGGTAACAGTGATGCCTCTTAAGCTGAGCAGTCCCTTTTATTTTCTTTACCCATCAGTTGTTGTTGTCTTAGTCATCTCCTCTCCTGTACACCTTTGAATTCCCCTCCTGCCTCACTCTTCTTATTTGACAGATGGCATTTTTTCCATCCCCCTCTCGTCCTCCTCATCCTTATTTAACGACAGCTGTAGGTGCTCTGTGGCTTTGACAGAGTGGTATCTTAAGACTATGTAGGACAGTTGTTGGGACTACATATAGAGTGTGATAAGAGAGAGGGAGTGGTGGATGAAAATGAAAATAACCAGGTAGGACAAGAATTAAGAGAGACTGAGGACAATTGGCCAAAAAAGATCAAAACGTGCAGTCTTTGGCATTTTGAGCTGAAAAGGTATCAAGTCTTTTTTGTTGCATATGTTTATATAAAAAAAGTACACACACAGACAAACACACCGCTGGTGGCTGGGCTACCATACAATGCGGTTGTTTTTTGTCTCAAAGACACTTTGACAGGTGAACTGAAGGATTCTTACTGTATTTCTAAAAACAAAATATTATTATTATGCTCAATAATTGCCTAAAAATTGTTAAAGACCGAACCCCCAAAAATGTATATTCATTGATATTCATATTGCATCTTTTCTACATCGTAGATACTATCTGCAGCTGCATTCTACTCCTCTTGAGTGATCGCAGACTCTCGGAAGCATTGAGGTGATAGTAATGTATACTCTATATAATACACATGGTTGTACTGCAGTAAAATGAAAAGTAGAGATGTTTGTATCAATCAGCTGAAGTCGAATTGAATGTATGTGAATTGAAGTACAAGAAACAATGCTTTTTGAAGCTTTAGAACCTAGATTAGACAGCTAGTTGTCCATGGTGGCAGGACAACACAGAAGACTGTCTCTGGTTTTGGATGAAATACCAGAGCACAACAAATGAGAGTGAAGGAAGAACGTGAGAAAGGCAGCAGCAGCCATTCTCTTCTTCAGCCAATTACTAAAAAACAAATGTGAGCTGAGACGGTTGTACAAAGCTGCCATTTGAGAAGACTGAAGCACAAGATACACAAGATACACAACCAAACACACTATCGCTACAAACTGTTAATGTGAGCGTCATCCCACGCTCCAAAACGAGGAAGACAGCACGGAGAACTGACAGCCGACAGCTGAGCTCAGGGAAACAAAAGACACCGAGTAGAGACATTGACAGCATTTGGCAGCATGCAGACAGAGATGGAGGGATGCAGAGGCCGAAAGAGAGAGGTCAGAGGGAAGAGGAGACAACATTAGGGATAGTGGCACTTAGGGCATTAAGAGAAGGAGAGCAGCACTCACAGGGAGAAACCTAAAGGACATAACCAGAGGAGGGGAAGTTTAGCAGTCAGGGCAGAAAAGAGATGAGTGTTGGGATGAAGACAACGATGACTTCCCTCCTGCCACATTCCACATCCCGTTAAGGCACAGACAGACCTCTCGCAGTGCTGTCACCCACAACACAAGACCAATTACACACGGCAGAAAACCCACTTTAAAGCCCCTGGCCTCTCCAGGGCTGCACAGGGATATGCGTGTGAATAAGTAGAGACTTTTAAAGCTACCCCTCTCATTGCTATTTGACAAGAGGAGGCGGGCCAGGCCAAAAAGAGGTTTGCTTTTAAACCCCAGAGGATATCTATTAAAAGCTTTACATAAGGCATATTTACACATGGACTAGTCCCATCTGCTAAATCTCTCTAACCTCGCCATGCCTCCACCTCTCTGCCACTCCCTCTTTAAACATCAGATATTCTCAGTTATCTTTCTTACCCGCCGCTTTCCTACTATTTTATCCTGTCAATCCCGCGGATCCTCTTTCTCTTTCTGTTTGTCATTAGCATCAGTCTCTCTGCAGAAAAGAAAAGTGCACAGAAAAGTATAAAGAATTAAAATCAGGAGTCCCACTGCTTCCCACTGACATGTTTCCTCAACAAAAATACCTCATGGTTAATGCATGAGCTGTAATTGCCACACTGCTGTCAGTATGCAGGGCACTTAGTTCACCGTACAGAGGCGGGAGATAAACGCAAAGGAGCACTCGAGTCATCTGTTAGAATGCCTGTGTGATTTACCTAAGGAGCATGACACCTTCCATCTTTCTCCTCTAAATGTAAACATGTAGAGGTGTTTACCCGAGAAAGCTTCCCCTCCTTACCCCTGCTCTAATCCTATGATGAAAACACAACAGGTTTTACATTTTGGTGTCACAAGGCCACTTCTCACTCTTCAATCATCACTTGATTGATTTCTTCTCCACCTGTGTGTGTGTGTGTGTGTGTGTGTGTGTGTGTGTGTGTGTGTGTGTGTGTGTGTGTGTGTGTGTGTGTGTGTGTGTGTGTGTGTGTGTGTGTGTGTGTGTGTGTGTGTGTGTGTGTGTGTGTGTGTGTGTGTGTGTGTGTGTGTGTGTGTGTGTGTGTGTGTGTGTGTGTGTGTGTGTGTGTGTGTGTGTGTGTGTGTGTGTGTGTGTGTGTGTGTGTGTGTGTGTGTGTGTGTGTGTGTGTGTGTGTGTGTGTGTGTGTGTGTGTGTGTGTGTGTGTGTGTGTGTGTGTGTGTGTAGTCTTTAAATCACGGAGACAGCCCCCTAAGGTTTCACACATAAGCTGCATTTTGCGTGTGTGAAAATATGTAACATTTCATCTGCAGTGTTGTGTAGATGGAATTACACCACCCTGTACCACAAAATGTGTTGTGAGAGTTTGTGATTGTGTGTGAGGATCTGAAACACTAAAGTCATCCGTGCATTTTAATTTTGTCTTTTACATTGTATGTGATCCAATACAGTCCACTTCCAATACAGCGTGACACACAAGGCATCGGACATTTTTCTCTTCTTGTATATGAGCAGATTCATGTGCGAGTGTGTTTGTGTGTGTCTGTGTGTGAAAAACTATACCCCAAGGCAGACCGGTTTCACCATCTGTCCTTGCTGTGTCCTGTGATTTCCCTGTGTAATTCAGACAAATGTCAGACTACGAGCAGAGGATGAGCTCTGACAAACTGCTCCAGACATTCTCAACCCCCCCCCCCCCCCCCCCCCCTCCTCCTCCTGATACTCCTGAAGAGCTCTCTGTCACCTTCTCTTATCCAGGACAGTGCAAACATTCGGAACTTCACACTATGTTCACATGTCTCTCCAAGAATTCATTCCTCCGGCAGAATGGCATCAGAAATAATATACATTTCAAAAATATATATACTGAAACCAGTGCACATGGCAATTTTGCTGTCAGGATGGGACATGCAGTAGCTGAAGTACTAAAGCATAACCTGCCTTTTCAATACCAAATGTGATGCTGTTGCTGCTGCCTGCACTAACCTGTCTGTCTGTGTGTCTCTGTGTGTCTGCAGTATAAGGGACAGGCCAACCTGCATGTGTTTGAGGACTGGTGTGGCTCCTCTATAGCCCAACTCAGAAAGAACCTGCACTACCCTCACTACCCTCATGTAAGTAATACAGAGCGGGCTGACTGACCTCTCACCTGTATACACAAATGCTATATTGATTCCAACTCACAGGTTTATCATTGCTTTGAGACAAAAGATTATTAATTGACCCCTTTTAGAAGTGAAGATATAGTCAATTGTTCTGGGAATGTCATTTTCGAGCCTGAGGCCTGAAAAACAGGCTCGGGGCTCAACTGGTTAAATGATTTGTTTTGTTGTTGGCGTAATGTCACACTAATGTAGTTACTTTTACTTCAGCTGTCAGGCTCTTAGTTCTCATTGCACATATGCATTTCATGATATTTTAAGTTCAACCCTAGAAATGTGTAGTAACCTTTGGAAGAATCTGCCAGAACAGAGGTGGGCAGATGCTTTTTTTTTTATTTCTATCAATTCTGAAATGTCACAGTCGCTTGCAGATTTTATTTTCTTGTTTCCAGATTCTTAATTATTTAAGCTAACATTAGCTCCACAAGTTAGTTACAATTGACTGGGACAATATAACACTTTATAATAACTCTGATATAAATAGTTGTGATTCCTAAAATGACCCTAATAATATCAACATATAATCAATGCTTTACATTTTGTCAAGAAATAATATTTGTAATGGCATCACTATAAGGACACGTGTAATTTCTATTGAAAAAACAATTATAAATCTTAAATAACATTTTTCATGTGATCTACACTAATATGTGTGTCCATCCCTTAAAATGTAAATGTAAGTTTACCACAATGTCAATTATCATGTTCCACATAAAATACAAAATTGTCCCATCCCTATTTGAAAAGCCCTATTAGCTAGAATATGGTCAGTTATGTTCACACTTAAAGTTGAAGCTGTTTTCTTTCTGTATTAATGCTAAAACTGCTGCCTCTATGATCTGAATTGTTATCTGTTTCACTGTAGACCCGCACCACGCTGAAGAAGCTGGCAGTCGCTCCAAAGTGGAAGAACTATGGCCTGAGAATATTTGGCTTCCTTCACCCTTACAGAGATGGTAACTAGCTCATCTTATTAGTGAGCCCCTCCTCAGAGGCTCGGGGCCTTGGAGCATGTGTCCTTTACAAGAGTGGACAATTTCCTCTGCCCTCTTAATCCAAGCTCCTGAGAGCCACTAATATAGTGGATATTCACATTTGTATTAGGACTGAATTCCAGCCATCTCCCAGCTAAATCTCATTGCAGGACCCCTGAAGACCTACCCTTGAGGCCAGTTTCTATGGGAACTGAAAAGTCTTTACACCCAAGGGCTCTTACACACATTGCAGAATTTGGAGTTATTAATTAGATCTCCGTTCATTTCAGTTTTCTGTGTAGCTTTCGCTGCTGTCATGGCTCTCCACAGATGATGACTCAAAGGTCATCTTGAGGATTCTGACAAGCACTCTAACAAGTGCCCTTGACCTCACACTGACACACACAACCTGCTACATGCTATTGTAGATTGATTGGGTGTTACATTGACCTGAGTTTGTAGCATAGAAATGCCTGGAGGTTTTCCAGATTACAGACGATAAAAACTGTCACAGTCATGACCTGCACTATATCCTGCGGCTGTTAATGTACCCTTGACAATCTATGGCTCTTTTATCATTCTCATTTAGACAGATACAAGTATATTTCATATGTGATGCATACATCACCACTTAACTTTTGCATGTAGTTTAACGGTGTCTCTTTGGAGTATTCCCACTCACTGTAATAGAATATTGTCTTGTGTTTACAAATATATCTACTTTGCATTACTGTTTGCCAAACCCAACACAACCTGATTTTGTCATCAGGTCCTTTAGAGAGTATGACACACTGCAAAACCACACTGACATTCACTGTTTGTTACTTTTAAATGGAAACAGTTTGAGGTGTGCATCTGCTGAGAGGAACGTAGCTTCATGCAGCTCCTTATATTAATAGTTTAACCAGAGAAAGAGAACAACAACTTCTTCATCCACGTGTATTCTGAAAGGCAGAATAAGCAGGATTTGTTGGTTGCAGTTTGTACTCCAAAAATTCCAAGTTGCTATCCTTTGGAGTCGATCCATAGATTTTTAGGAATATCCTACTTTTTTTTGTACCTAGTTTTCAGTTTCAGCAACTAAGACAAACATATTCACACTTTTACTGTTTTTTCCATTTTTTTTTAGCTGAATCCACATCCACTGTATTAGAATAGTATAGTAATAATTAAGCTTTTTAAAGATAATCTTCACCAACTAACGGCTAACTCTAGTATAGATTTATGCAAACATCTTCATTTATATTCACACCGTTGGTACATATGGATTAGAAATTCAGTCACTGTAAAACTTTGATATCACTGCGACTAAATGTGTCATCTCGGACCGCTGCCTCAGGCAGTTCGGGCATCAGATTTTAGGTGCATTTTTCCAGCTAAGAATCAATTTTACCGGGCCATGCCCTATCTGATTGCCCTGGTTCTACTTATCTGGGATCATAAATATGTACTTCTACCGGCGCACACTTTGATCATGTTTTTCCCCTCCAGGTGATTTCCAGTTCTCGGTGTCGTCTGATGATAACTCTGAGTTCTGGCTGAGTCCTGATGAGAGCCCTCTCAGCGCCCGGCTGCTGGTCTATGTAGGACAGGTAAACACCGAGCCGTGCTGCATCCCTGCATCATATCTGAACCACAGAGAGTCACTCCAATAAGTATACATTAGGTCCCAGCATTTGTATGCTTTGTTATTGTCAGCAAGTACCGGTTTTCCAGTTGGCTTTAACTAATATTGCTTAGCAACAAGCTTTTACTGCTTGACGAATCTGAATCACCTGAATCATAAATAGTTTCAAACTCCTCAATGTCATGACTTAAATAGCAAAAGCCACTTAGTATATACCTTTGGGAAAGAGCGTGTGCAGCACAACATGTGCAGAGAAGCTACAGTACACCTTTATTATTACTCTATGTAGTGACTTTATTATCTAATATGATGTTCAGACTGAGGGTGACTCATTGCTCTCAATAGCATCTAATGGATTCCTTTCTAAGACAGTCATGCACACAATGACAAAGTGCATGTTTGAAAGGCTTCTTTCATTCTTTTGTTATTTATTGTCATTAATGATCCTATTAGTGTCAAAAGCTATAAGACTATTATCGCTATGATATCCCTCCTGAGACAGTTGCTGTTTGTAGGGCTGTGAGTCTGACCAGTCAACGACATAAGCCTTTTTTTACTGACCGTGTCTAACCTTACAGCAGCACGGAGCTATTTGACCTTGTCTTTAGTATTCACCCGCTCACCTCGTGTCACCACCCTTACACTCAGGCCATCACTCACCCCGACACACAGCTCAGAATACATATGGCTTAAATCCCGCTGTTGAACATCCTGTGAAAAATCGTTTTTCATCTACCCTTCATGCACCTTCTACCCGCAATCGAATGAAAGTCAAGCTGCGCTCTTACTGCCTTCGCCAATAAAGTTTTCTTGCATAAAGCTTTTTCAATTTAAAAATAGGCATGGATGCATGAGGTTGGACAGCGTTTGAACTGCAACATATGACTGCTCTAGTCAAATATGAGTTAAGAGCAAAGGTCTGGCTATGGAGCTGTGTCTGTATTCAAACCGGATGTGAGATGTCACTACATTTCCAGGAGAGCTGAGATGAATTAGCTGGCTGCGAATATTGATGTGACATTTAGCAGTGGAGGAAAATCATCCTGGTAATGGCAGGGGAGCAGTACTGTGGCCAGGGATCACTCATCCTGCCAGCGGCTGACAGACAGGCCTCGCTGCCCCCCCCCCCTGTCTTCAGAGACGCATTGTGTGTCACAGATAGAAATCTAACTCTCCGCTCCTCATTGTGTGACCCATCTGTCTGCACAAGTAAGGGAATGATAGATAAGTAACACGTTTTTTTAATTTGTATAATTATTGACTTTCTGCGTTTGCATGCAGTACATACTGAGGTCCTCGCACATCACCAATTATAAGTCCAACGCAGGTAATGCAGAGCTTTTCTTATCTGAAACGAGGATTACTGCTAAACCTGCTTCTAAGCCCTTTAGCTCTAAAGAAGTTCAGAAAACTTTTCTTGCTACTTTTAAAGCTGTTTAAATTCTTCTAATCACTTGTAGCTGTGAATAAGAATTACATAAATACAGGTTATCATATCTGTTTCTAATTCATGAATTTATCTGTTGTTACTTTGGGGTGTTGTAATATTCTGATACATCACATCACATTTGATAATTTTGTGTAAATAATTCAGCATTGTTTTGTGAAAGGATAGTGTCTTTATGTCACAGGTGGTGGATTGGCTATACATGTAATGTGCGTCTAGTAGTCATTTGACTGTGATAGGAAGAGGAACTGGAAGTTGAAGCGTGTCCGTGGTGTTTCCGTGGAGACCCATTTTGTGGCTAAAGTCTGAGAATGATGTACCGGATATGATTAATATCAGCTAATGCCGAGCAGGAAATCCTAATGAAGTGATGACGTCATCTGCAGAGGTTCATTTCTGTCTTTCTCACACACATATATACATAAACACACATGGATAAACATAGAAAAACATCTCTATCCAGGGCCTTTAAATCTTGTGCAGTTACTCTCAAACACACACAACCGCACACAGACTAATAAAGACCAACATTGAGGTTCCTCTGATCAGCCCTTTACACGTAGCCACTCGCTCTGGTCAGAGTGAGTAATAAGTGGGTTTCTAATAAGAACATTCTCCTCAGTCCTGCTGGGACATTATCTGTGCGCATACAAATGTACTTAATATGAGTGAGGATCACCCATAGTCCTGCCGTGGCATTAATCATATTTCACTGCTCACAGCTAATCTGTAATGAGATTTTCTTTCAATCAGAATGTCCAACAGCTCCCGCAGAGTTTCCCACAGACCAGATATCAAGAGAGACTTATTAGTAGCACCGAGCATGTGTGTGCAACTTTGTGCGTGTGATCATGCACCGCCGTAGTGCTCATGTCTTAAAGTGGACCTATCATGCTATATTTGAATAATATATTGTAGGGCCATACCTATATAAAACATGTATGTGAAGTTTTCTTTTCAAAATACCAAACAGGTCATGCATTTTAGCCATGCCTCATTTCACTCTATTTGCTCTATTCCAGCCCTGTCTTCACAAGGGCTGATTCTGTGGCAAATGCGCTGCAGCTGACCACGCCCCCCTGCAAAGGAGGGGGGCGAGGCACGAGCGTCATGTTACCATGCTGTTACCATGCTGTTACCATGCTGTTACCATGCCACGCAACCTCTCATTCCCCTGATAGGTGGAGAGTTGCCCATATAGGCGGAGCACCCCGTTTCTGACGTCAGAACAATTTCAAATCTGTATCAGTCTGTATCAGATCCGTTGCAGCCCCGTTTTTAGAGATTTGGGTATGGAAGAAAATAGAGAGGGTTGTGTTTTCTGACACTTGGTGAGTTCCCTGACACACCGGGGACACATATTCATGTATAAAAGACGTACAAAAGTGCATTTTGCATGATAGGTCCCCTTTAAATTGGATTATTTTAAAATGGGTGTTTATGGATTGTGTTTGAGCCTCCAGACATGCCTTCTGCCATTCATCAACCAAAATGACACTATTTAGGTCCTCTTTTATTTTCTGAGGAACCTTGAGAACCATCCAATATAATTCCAAAGAAACGAGATATGAGGCCTCTCTTGGAGTGATGGTTTATCATAATTTCTTCCATAGAGGTGAGAGTAGGCATGGTTAAGGATGTTTGCGTCTTGCATATGAAGCTTCTGATCTGCAGGAACTTGAATAGGTTTAGTCTGAATGTCATATTTCCATTCCAAATCTCGGAAAGACATACAAATATTTGTATGGAATAGATCTCCAAGCCTTTATCGGCCCAGAATTTAAAGCCCATATCTTTCTTACCAGGTGTAAAGTTACTGTTGCCCCAGATCAGGGAACATTGGGCTAGTAGTAGTGTTTATGGTGCTCATGTCTATCTGTTTTTGCAGACATGCTCGGCTGGTGTATGTTGTCAAATGTGATATACCTATTTATTTTTAACTATAAGCAGATATAAAAAAGAAAGAGATGTGCAGGAAACTGGGTCAGGGAACTGTCAACAATATGAGACAATAGAGCAACAGGAGCTGTTCATTCTCAAACAGACAAAACTGTCACGAGTAACATGCATGCTATTAAATGGAAAATATATGACACCTTTTATGTAGATCTCCAATCATTGTAAAGGTTAATGTAGTCAATTAAATATTTTGAGCAGCATCATGCACACCTTGCCTAGAGGCTGGCACTGAAAACCCAAGCTGAATAAGCCTGTAGTTCTTTCTTTCCTCCAACTACATCCCTGCCACATGAAATAAGTGCGCTTGGCAGGAAGAACAACAGATTGTGCCGCTGAAAACTCAGATTCTCAGTCAATAGAACACTCTGAGTTATTGATAGCTTCAACATTACAATTCAACATTAATTGAATATACTTAACATTAAGGTGATGACCATGTCTCCTGATGGCATTTGAAGATTCCAACGTGCCTGAATGAAAACAGACGAAATACAAGCGTATATCACAACTTATGATCAAACCGTCAAACTAGGCAGTGCTGTATTAGTACTGTATAGAACTGTTTAAAATGTTGTGACCTTCCGCCATGTTGAAAACAGATGAACCAAAAATAATCTCTCCCCACCAACCCAACCAAACTTTCTCAGCACTCTTACATTTCTGAAAACATTATGAGGCAAAAAGTAATGCCTGTGCTTTACCTACTATAACACGTAATAATGTCTGATGTTAAAGAAAATAGGTTTTTCAAATGCTTTCATTGCCAGGAACAAACATCTGTTCAAAGTAACAAATAGGACATTTTGGATTGGAAAACCATGGCAAGCGTATAATGAGTTTCACTCTTGTTTGGAGTTCCAAGTAAAAGCTTCAAACCACCACCCATCTAATCATCTATTTGAAAAGACATAAAAAAAACTGTGTATGGACGCCACAGAGATACAAATTCAAACCTGCTTTAGATGGGCAATCCATCACAGTGAGCAGCATGACTATGTCTGCTTGTATTAATGTTGCCATTATGTTAGTGTATGCCGTTTGATTCAAACTACTCTTACAGCTGTAAAACCATCCATTGATAATGTAACTTTGACAACAATACAAACAGACATGAGGATCATTTTGATGGATTACCAGACTTCGAGCCCGTTTGAAGTATCTGCAGGTTGATTTTATGCCTGACTAAAATGAATAGAAACCAGTGACTGCCTTAGGGAGAGAAAAACACCTTGAACCGCATTTCATGAACGATGTAAACATGAGACTCTTTGAAATAACCACGTATTTCTGCTGAATGAGATAATCAAAACAAAGAGTGTTGTTGACTATGCTTAAAGTCCACCTGTTTTGATTTTATTACAATTTAGATGCAGTTAGGATAGCAACAGCAGTTTCTGTTTTCTGTATTGACTAAGTGTTAAAGTCAGTATGTTTTTCTACACCAAAAATGCATGCGTGCTTACTACAGGATTCTTATCATTTAATATATTTTCTCCTAACTAATTCAATCAGTGACTCCTTTAAATGTGCAAGTGTTGATTTCCTCTTAGTCATAACTA